AAATGGGCCAAAGAACTAAACAGACATTTCTCCAAGGAAGACATACAGATGGCTAACAAACACATGAAAAGATGCTCAACATCACTCATTATCAGAGAAATGCAAGTCAAAACCACAGTGAGGTACCATTACATGCCAGTCAGGATGGCTGCTATCCAGAAGTCTACAAGCAATAAATGCTGGAGAGGGTGTGGAGAAAAGGGAACCCTCTTACACTGTTGGTGGGAATGCAAACTAGCACAGCTGCTATGGAAAACAGTGTGGAGATTTCTTAAAAAGCTGGAAATAGAACTGCCATATGACCCAGCAATCCCACTTCTGGGCATACACACCGAGGAAACCAGATCTGAAAGAGACACGTGCACCCCAATGTTCATCACAGCACTGTTTATAATAGCCAGGACATGGAAGCAACCTAGATGCCCATCAGCAGACGAATGGATAAGGAAGCTGTGGTACATATACACCATGGAATATTACTCAGCCATTAAAAAGAATTCATTTGAATCAGTTCTAATGAGATGGATGAAACTGGAGCCCATTATACAGAGCGAAGTAAGCCAGAAAGATAAAGACCGTTACAGTATACTAACACATATATATGGAATTTAGAAAGATGGTAACGATAACCCTATATGCAAAACAGAAAAAGAGACTCAGATGTATAGAACAGACTTGTGGACTCTGGGAGAAGGCGAGGGTGGGAATGTTTCAAGAGAACAGCATCGAAACATGTATATTATCTAGGGTGAAACAGATCACCAGCCCAGGTTGGGTGCATGAGACAAGTGCTCGGGCCTGGTGCACTGGGAAGACCCAGAGGGATCGGGTGGAGAGGGAGGTGGGAGGGGGAACCGGGATGGGGAATACATGTAAATCCATGGCTAATTCATTTCAATGTATGACAATAACCACTGCAATGATGTAAAGTAATTAGCCTCCAACTAATAAAAATAAATGGAAAAAAAAAAGAAATGGTTCATTGTTGTTGAATAGAATAAGCAAAGGCAACACTTCAAAATGATGATTTTTTAATTTTCTGTCAGCTCACAAGGCACACACGTATCGAGCTTTTTCACCTTTCCAGTTTGTTTCAAATGTCAAATGACTGTAGAATGGTCGATGTTGAGTTCTTGAGCGAATTCTCGTGTAGTTGTAAGAGGATCAGCTTCAGTGAGTCTCTCAAGTCGTGGTTCCAATATCAAATGCAAAGTTCAACAATGCAATACTGCAATTACTTTTGCACCAACCTAATACTATGTATCTGTTTAATGCTACCAAGTTTACATCTCTAGCCTGGTCATCCCTCACCATCTCCAAACTTATCTGTACAACTTAATGCTCCACACCCCCACGTGGATTCTAATAGACAACTCAGAACTAACCCTATTCCACCAGCAATGTTTCCTACCTCAGCTGATGACAGTTTCATCCTTCTCATTGTTCTGGCCAAAAATCCCAGTTATTCTTGATGCCATTTCTCTATCACATGTCACATTCAATCCATCAGGGAATCCTGTCAGCTCTACCCTCAATATGTCCAGAACCCTATCCCTTCTCCCACCTCTGGTCCTGGTGCAAGTTGCCACCATCTCTAGCTTGGATTACTGCAATAGTCTCCTAACAGGTCATACTACTTTTATTCTTCTCCCCTACAGTCTATTCTTAACAACAACCGCAGTGAGCCTTTAAAAATAGAAGTGACTGCATGTGATTCCTCTGCTCAAAACCCAACTTTGAGTCCTCATTTCACTCCAAGTAGAAGCCAAAGTCCTTACAGTGGCCCGTAAGGACCCACCCCTGCTTCTTACTCTCCTGACTTCCTCTCTCACTACCCTCTTCCTCAGTTACCTTGTTCCTGTTACACTGGCCTTGGCTGTTCCTCACACTATCCACACATACTCCTGACTTCCAGAGTTTGCACTGGCTAGTTAGCTCCTGTGCCTAGAAAACCATTCCTCCAACTGTGTAGCTTGGCCAGTCCCCTCACTTCCTTTAAGATATTGCTTCCCCCCCCAAAAAAAGATATTGCTCCCACTTAAAAAAAAAAGGTGCCTGTGGTGTGGGGGGTAAATTCCTTGGTGATCCAGTGGTTTCACTGCTGAGGGTCTGGGTTCAAAACCTGGTTGGGAAACTAAGATTCTACAAGCCACGCAGCATGGCCATTGAAAAAGAAAGAAAAAAGACATTGCTCAAATTTCATTTTCTCCGCAAGGCCTTCTTGGATCACCTTACTTAATATATAGTCAGCCCTCTCCACCCTCTTCTTCCTCTTCCATTTCCAAACCTTCTACCTTGCTCTCTCTCTTTTTTTTTTTTTTTTACTATAGCTCTTATTACCTTTTAACATACACTATATTTTTTGTTTTGTTTTTACTTTAAAATTTTTTTTAAGTTTTCTTTCTCTTTTTTCTAATATTCACTATATTTCTTATGTTTATTTCTTTTTTTTTTTTTCAATTTGTTTCAATTGTTTATTAACAGACCAGATTACAAAAATAATCCTGGTAGATACCTTAGTTCATCCTTCTAATGAGCCTGTTGATCTGGTATTCCCTGTTGCCAGCATCTCCACCTTCTACAAAATGGGTGGTCTTTTTCTTCATTCCACCTCGTGGAGAAAACAATTTAAAGGGCCACAGGAAGTTGTTTGCTTCTTTGAAACGTTTTCCAACAGTATAGATCTCATGAATCAGATCCTCCATGCAGATGATTCCGTATTTCCCAAGAGATCGAGCAATCAATGCGTTGTCTGTCAGGGCAATTCGCTTTTTGTTGGTTTTGCCATAACCACGCTTGTAAATCAATTCATTTACAGACTTCAGATTTGGGTACCCCCATGCAATGTATGGCTCCACAATTCTCAGCATGTTAACTGATGCCTTGTTGAGCTTCACAAAGGTACCACTGAAGATCTGCCGGAGGCGAAGGAGCTGCAGCACCTTTCTAACCTTCGGGCTCACAGCGTTGATACCTCTGATCCTGATGACAAATGCCAATTTGGGTTCCGCGGGTACATAGAAGTTGCCGGCTTTTCGTGCCATCCTAGCCATTCGAATTTCAGTTCTGTACATCTGCCTGTATTCCTTGTGGTAATGCTTAGCTTTTTCATAAATAAGCTTCCTCCTTGCCTTTCGAAGCATCTTTTGGGCAAACTTCTTTCTCAGGCGCTTGATCTTAAGCTCTGCGAAATTCTTTCGCTTTTTCTTAAGGGTTTCTGGCACAGCAGGAACCTTCTTTTTCTTCTCTTCTGCACCCTCCATGGTTCCAGCCGGGAAAGAGCTATGTTTATTTCTTTGATGCATATCTACTGTCTCCTTCCCCTCTAGGATATAAGTGCTCCCAAAATAAGGATCTGTTCATTGATGTATCCCAAGGATCTAGTACAGTGTCAGGGACAGAATAAGTGCTCAGTAAATATTTGTTGAATGAATAAATGAAAAATGTGGATAATGATACTCACTCAAAAAAAAAAGAATGATACTCACTCTAAAAAGTTGCTGTAGGGATTAAGTAACATACAGAGATCCTGACACTCTGTTATATCCCCACCTCCCTTCTCTCTTCCTCAAATGTCTTCCCTAGTTGCATCTTATAGCATTGCTTCTTCCCTCCTCTTTGGACATTTTAACCCCTGTAATCACTCCTTTGAGTTTAAATCCAGGAAGATCCAACAAAAGGCCACAGATATCATCTGAGAATCAAAAGGACTCTGGGAGATCAACTCTACCCACTACCACAACTGTTTATCAAATTAGGAAATTGTTACCCAGAGAAGCAGACAGCCTGACCTACCGTCTCGGCTAGGTCAATGTTTTGTTGTTGAAGTTAGACTTAAAAATCAACTTTAGGGAGTTCCCTGGTCGTCAAGACTCTGAGCTTTCACTTAAAAAAGAAAAAGTAACCAAGCAATTTTATCAAGGTATATTTACAGACATTAAAATAGATACATTTTAAGTGTACAGTTTGATGAGTTTTCACAAATGTAAGGTCATTAAGGTCATCAGTGATTTAGCAGAGGTATCCTGGCCAGGAAAGAGAACACCACCAGGGCTTTTGGGAAACAGGGCCAAGCAGAGACATCAAGGGCCGACAGGAGATTATTGATCCTGGGGTTTCACTGAAGCAGGATCTGAACCACTGGGATGTCTGGCAACTTCGCGGCACCTCTTGGTCCTCCCAAGGGAGTGAGCCAGCTCTCTTTCACACCAGTCTCCACCAATCTCCGGTGTACAGACCAGGAATGGAGACCTGGGACTGAGTTCTGTCTCTTGCCTGTCCTGCAACTCCCCTGCCATCAACCACTGCCCGCATCTCTGCCCATCAATGGGGGGCGCTCCAGCTTGAGAAGTCAAGCTTCTCTCCTGCCGCCACACCCACCGGGCCCGATTTCCTCTTCATTCTTAGAAGCCGGTTTCGGGTCAGCAGGAGTACCGCTGGCTGGGAAAAGTCAAAAGGCTACGCCAGGTGCTGGCCTCGGAAATCGCCCCTCGGGTCTGCCCTCCTCTGGTTCCTTGGGGCTCTTGGCGTGATGAGCTGGCCCCGCCCCGCAACCAGTCGCTATCTCCAGCCCTTCTGCATCTAAAACCCTCTAGGGGGTTGCAGGTTCAGCTTCGCTTAGAGACCGCAGCTCTTGAGTTCAGACTAGGTAGAAAAACTCAGGCAGGACTGGGTACTCGGGTGAGGCGTCTGAAGCTGGCCGCAGACTTTCTCTCCGGAACTGAGAGAGCCTCTTAAGAAAGCCCAAAGAGCTGCCCGCCCATCCAAGAAAAAAACGCTGGGGTTGGTGCTGCTAACATCTCGGGGAGAGCGAGGTGCCGCCCCCAGCGACTGGGAAATCCCAGGGGTGGTGCCGGCTGGGGGTGGGGCCGGGGGTGGGGTCCCGGCGGAGGGCGGGGCCTACCTGGGCACCCGGGTGTGCCAGCCCAGCCCTGCACAGCCGAGGTGGTAGTGGCCCGGGTCTGTGGCTCCCGCTCTACCTGCCCCTGAACCTCGCAGCCATGGAGGGACCCCAGGAGCTTCTGAGTGGGAAGCTCCAGCTCTGCTTCACCCCGGCTGCCCGGACCAGCCTCCTACTGCTCAGGCTCAACGACGCAGCGCTGCGGGCGCTGCAAGAGTGTCATCGGCAACAGGTAAGGCTGGCCCAGGCCCCATCCTCTCTATCCTCTGCCTCTCCGGAGGTCGGGCCTCAGCCGGCGACTCCGGCGCAGGGACCTGGGGGTGGATAGCAGCATCCTCGGGCTCTGGCCTCCCCATCTCGTCAAGTGAAGCCCGCTAGGGAAGCCCCGCCACCCCAGGCTCCCGACGCCGGATCCTGGCGACGCCGCTTCTGCTGCTCTTGGCTCAAGTCTGTGCTCTGCCCGCAGGTTCGGCCGGTGATTGCTTTCCAAGGGAACCGAGGGGTAAGCGCGGGTCTGGGGTGTGTGGAGGTGAAGAGCAGGGAGAACAGACATGGGCTTCAGGAAGGGACCGTCAGGGCGAGAGGCTGAGAGCAGTCACGGTCTGATGAAGCTTCGAGAACTGAACCCAAAATGGGGGAAACTGGGGCTGCTGGGGTTGGTCCCAAGAGGCTGCGGTTGAAGAGACTTCGGCGACTTAACCTCCTGAGGAACTCGGGCCCAGCTGCACCTCGTGTGCTAACGAGCCCCATGGGACCCATCTTTGGTCTTGGCTGGTTCAGGGAGGAAGAGCATTGGTTGGGGAGGAGGAACTAACTTGCATGGGGTTTACTGTCTCCTTTCACCCACAGTACCTGAGGCTCCCAGGGCCCCACTGGTCCTGCCTCTTTTCCTTCATAGCATCTCAGTGTGGCCAGGAGGGCCCTGCTGGTCCAGGCTTGGACCTTGTATGCCAACGCCTAGGCAGGTAAGGAAAATGGGTAGCAGGTAAAAATTTGTGGTAAGTCAGGGAAGGGGATGTCCACAGTTCCTTAAAAGTTCTCCACCCTTCTGTTTTATGTGTGTGTGTGTTTTTTAACTGCCTTTTCCCAGGTCTGGGCCTAACCGTCTCCACTGCCTGGGTCCACTCAGGGAGCGCCTCACGATTTGGGCAGCTATGGATTCTATCCCAGCTCCTTCTTCAGTTCAGAGACACAACCGGACTGGAGATGCCAGGGATCGTGAGAGCTGGAAGAGTGTGGGAGACTATCCTGAAGGAGACACAATTTCACAGTCACAGATGGCACTAGAAGAGGTGAGGCCAGAAAGTGCAGGGAGTTAGGATAAGGTGGGGCAAAGCCTGAAACCTAGGGAGCCATGTGCCCCTACCACTTTCCCTGCCAGGTGCCAGATCCACTGGCAAGCAGCCAAGGACAGTCACTCCCAGGATCCTCGAGGGAACACATGGCACAGTGGGAAGTGAGGTACTTGGAACAGGGTGGGACTAACCCAGGGCGCTCTGGTATTCCTTTTTTTTTTTTTAATATATATATATTTTTGGTATTCCTCTCTAATCGCCACTCTAAATGCTGTGATAAGAGATGGAGCCCTACTTCCTACCCTGGGCTTGATCTCTCCTATTCCCTCTCCTAGGAACCAGACCCTTCTTCCAAACAGAGATCCTGATCAGGCACTGCCTCCCTCTGCTAGCCAGAAACATGTGGACAAGGTAAGTTGTAATAGCAAGGGTTTTTCTAAGAGAGTTGTGTTCAATGAGGCTAACATTTTAAAACTGAGAGCTTATCATTTTCATGCTCCCAGAGCTCATTATATGGAAGTAATTTTCAAGAGAAGGGCACAATAGGAGGCTTCTGGCTTACTGTTTATGTTCCTGAGATATGTTCCCAACAGAAACGTCCAGCGTCTGCAGCTATGGTAGAACTAAAACAAAAGAGGCTCAGAACTCTAGCTCCAAGTCCCCTACAAGGACTGCCCAGTCAGGACTTACAGGAGGAAGATTGGGAGCAAGAAGATAAAGATGAAGATGTGGGTCCCAGGCTGGAGCACAGTCCCTCAGGTCAAGCAGGTGAGTTAGAGAGAGGGTGAAACTGCCATTGTGGGGAGGGAAAAAAAAAAAGTGTTATCATCACCTTCATGTCTTGTTTCCTTTCTAGATTCTGAATCCCCAAACCCTGAAGAAGTACCAGATTACCTCCTGTGAGTCCCTTGCCATTTCCAATTTTATCAAGCCTTGTGCATTCCTGGGAGCTGGAAGCTTTGGGGGGGTCAATGATACTGATGGTGACAACACTCTGCTCCTGGCAGGCAATACAGGGCCATCCACAGCGCAGAACAGCAACATGCCTACGAGCAGGACTTTGAGACAGATTATGCCGAATACCGCATCCTGCATGCTCGTGTTGGGGCTGCAAGCCAAAGGTTCATAGAGCTGGCAGCTGAGATGAACAGTGTTCAGCGAGGAACTCCAGAACACAAGGTAAGGACTGGATGAACCCAGGCTGGCTTTCAAGTTCTACTGGCCATAAACTCCCTGCTAATTGCCCGTAAGTATGTTTGTTCAATGACCAAAGTGACAAGCAAGTCTGTTTTGAGAGAAAAATTAAGTCTGCATAATTTGGCATAATATGAAGTTACTTTAGTCCCTAAGAGAGTTGGAGATTTTTTTCTCAAGGTTAAACTTAGTGCTGACATTTTCTGTTTCAGGTGCTGGAAGAAAAGATAGTCCAGGAATATAAAAAGTTCAGAAAGGTAAGACCGGGCCTGGGAATGGTAGCAAGAAGGCAGAATTGACTTTTTTTTTTTTTTTTTTTTGACATGGGCACTTTTTCTCCGCAGCGGTACCCAGGTTACAGGGAAGAGAAGCGCCGCTGTGAGTACTTGCATCAGAAACTGTCCCACATCAAAGGTCTCATCTTGGAGTTTGAGGAAAAGAACAGGGGCAGCTGAAGCGGACACGTGGCTCTTTACCCTAGTGTGATATGGAAGAAAACAGCAGCTATTGACTAAGAGGACAGTTGTCTGCTCTTCCTATTGTTGAGTCCGTAATGGCAAGTAGGAGAGCTGCTCTAGGTTCTTGAGGTTTGGTTTTCATTATTACCATATTTAAACTTTTAGGGCATGGGCACAGTGCCAACACTCCACAGCTGTGCCCAGGAGTTATCCAGTAACTGAAAACTAGGAAAAGTAGCAGAGGCTTGGCTTTTCCACCTTTAGTTCAGCCAAGTCATTTTCAAATCCTGAGAAGTGACACCATTTCCAAGACAAGATACCTTGAGAACATTAGAATTTACCTGGTAGCCTCCCTGAAAAAAATCTTTGGTAACAAAGCTAAAGGAACTAGTAATACAACAGGATATAATGGGAAAAGGCTTGGGTGTTACCCATGTACTAGAAATGAATTCTTTTACAAACATGGCTAAAAAAATTAAAACTGATTGCTTCTGTGTCAAGTTTATGTTTTCCTTAAATCCTCCAAGATGGTGGTTCTCACCCTTGGTTGTGTATATGAACCACTTCTTGGGCTCTCTAAAAAATTAGATCCTTAGATCCCAGCCCAGGTCTTTTAAAAATATATATTATTTTATTTGGCTGTGCTGAGTCTTGGTTGTGGCACGTAAACTCTCAGTTGCAGCATGTGGGATCTAGTTCCCTAAACAGGGACATCAAACCTGGGCCCTCTGCATTAGGAACATTAGTAAACTCTCCTCAAAACATGGAAGATGAGGATCACCTACAACTAGGGCTCCTATCTAGAATTATCCAGTAACTCAAAACTGTAACTGTGGATAGGATTAGTAAACTCTCCTTCTCCAAACATAGAAGATGAGGATCACCTACAACTAGGGCTCCTATCTAGAATTATCCAGTAACTCAAAACTATAACTGTGGATAGGATTTGGATTTACCCAAAAAAGAGGGAAATGATTCAATTCTTTTGCCAGTCCTATCCTTTTTGTTCCTCACTTATGCACTTTTGTGCATAAGAAAGTGAGTATTTCACTCCCAACCAGGAATGATACTGCCTTTCCCGTTTCCACTGGAGGAGGAAGTTAACGACCACACCTTGGACTTTGAGGGAGAAAGCTGTACCAGTAGTGTCAGCAATTCCTAAAACAGCTTGAATGAACCCCAACCTGATGCCACACCCACACAGGGCATTTCTGGGCAGAGAATAGCCCTTGGGAGGTATAAACATGCTTAGCTGCATGGCAAGGATAAATAGCAACCCAACCTTAAGGTGTGGGGGGCCAGAAACAGCCCAACAAGAAAGGTCCTTCACCTGTTCTAATCATCAGGCTAGGGTTCTGTGCAATAAACACATAAGGATAGAAGGAGATGAAATTTGGAAAGGATTTGCAGGTGATTAACTATGGACCAGTGCAGACAGCTGTGCGGACCATCATGGTAGTCACTCGCCCTACACATAACTATTTAATGAAAATCTAAAATATGGTTCTAGCTCCATTTCAAATGCTCAACAGCAATAGGTATTGAGCAATGAAGATTATAGAACATGTCTATCATAGCAGAAAGTTCTACTGGACAGTGCTGGTCTAGAGAAACTTTGGTTCCCCACCTCATGGAGAAAAGACAGTATAAAGGGGGCGCATTTATTGTCACTGTTCCAAATGTACAAAAAAAATTAGAAAATAACCCCCCAACTCAATTCCCCCCACCCCCACAACATTCCCCCCCAACACAAATAATTTTTCCCAAAACCACAAACATAAACTGGTTCTGGTATTTTCATAAACAGTGCAGCTAAGAAACAGTTTAGAGAAAATTTAACAGGATTCAGATTATAACCATTCTGCCCTCTCAGCCCTGAGAGGCAGGAATTCCATACGGGTCCCAGTCCTCCCCATTGGTTTTCCCATCTCTGGTGGAAGAGTCCTTTGACAAAGTGGTATGATGTCTGGCTGCTGCTTTAGAGATCCTCCTGTGCCTTCTTCTTCTTCTTGGGTTTTTCTTCTTGAATTACAGGGGGGTTTGTAGCCTCTCGCTTTAGATAGCTAATAAAATCACTTAATTCACGGCCACCCTGAAAACAGAAAGATAACTCTGAAAATTTAACCTTTTAAAAAATCCACAATTTCCCTCCCCCCCACCCAATAGGAAGCCTTTTGTATTTTAAAAAGCACATTAACAACCACATATATGGACCATGAGAGTTGAGTTTCCAGTTATATAAACTCAGTTAAAGAACTGGATCTGTATGTGTGTGTCTGTATGTGTGGGGAGATGAGAAAATGCACTTACTTCATATTTCTTTGGATTTTGCTTCTTGTTGGCTGGAGAAAAGTAGATGGTAGGAAAACTGGGAAAAGAAGAAAAGATGAATTGCAGATTTCAGAGTAACTCTAACATATACTTCCATAATAACTGTTTCCACGAATAATTTCTCTTCATGATTTCTAATCTGACCAGATACATTGTCCATCAGTGACGAGGTTACATCCTGTTAGAACACAGGAATATGAAGGCTCACAAGGTCTGGGGCAGTCATGAGGGGCCATGCTGCAGAAACTTTAAGCCAGGAAGGCACTGGTGGTTCTGTGTTCAATTGGAATATGAGGATTCTCCAAACTATGCCCAATATAGAAATGGTTACAAGCTCATTTTTTCCTATCAACTGCCTAGACACTTTTACTAGTTTTTAATCTACTTACCCTCTGACTTCATATGGAGAAGGCACATCGTTGGCTGTGGCATCCATCTTGGCTATGACAATATTTGGATCTTTTCTGAGCTGTTAATTAAAAAGGTTAGGTCTTTGAGTTTCAAGTTTTCAGTGACGGACACAGTCAATTTAGGACTTAAAACCATTAACGGCTGGATAGGTTTTGCTGCTGAGATGGAAAGAGTAGTGATACTTTCACAAGTATCAAACTTCCCATAAACTTCCCTTTTCTCTCTTGGTTCCTACATATTAAGACTATATACAGACAGCTGCAAAATTACCTGGCCTAAGTAAGACGTCAGCTAAAACAAGTGATTTAAGATGGAGAAATATAATGAATTCATATATGCCATTACCAAATTCAGAAGCCAAGGTACTTTTTAATCATAATCTAGATTGAGTCCGAGGAGTGGAAAGTTAAAGCAGGTATCTAAGGCACTGAGTAGGCTCAGAGTGCAGTCAGGAGACAGCACACAGGAGATAGTTGAAAGAAAATCCACCAGTGCTTAAGTTCTGAACTAATTAGGGTAACTATTAATCAATAGCCAATGCTAACTTCCAACTCAAATTCAACTTTATAATATAGTTCACACTTACCTTCTCTCCCAGTTCTTTATACTTAGGCTCCAGATTCTTACAGTGACCACACCAAGGAGCATAAAACTCAATCAGCACATCTTTATTTTCATTATTCACTATTTCATCAAAATTCTCTGCTACCACTACCTGGAAAACAAAGAAGATTCTCTAGTTGGTAAGGCCAGCTGAATACATTCATGAGCTGTATTTGTTTCTGGACTCAATCCCTCTCAAATTTGTTGTGTTTCCACCGAAAAATATATTATTGAAATTCAACTTGCACTTACAGGCTTTATTAAGATATTACCATTCCCCAGAAAGCAACTCACTCCCATGTCTGTCACCTGTCAGATTAAGTTGAATAAGTCACAGGAAACAAGTGCTACCCAACTCTTCCTTAAAATAATCTCACAGCAACAATCTTACAGTTAGCTTGTTCTGTCCCAAAGAGTCACCGAGCCCTAATACAAATATCATAAAATTCTCCTGCCTCTATTAAGCATTATGAGCTCTGCCAATGCTTAATTTATGATGAGAGAGGTTAAGGACAAATAAAAACAGAAACTCAATAGCCAACCTCGTCTTCACTTAGACCCAGCATTTTGGGAAGAAAAAAGTGAGGAGAGGCAGCTGTGCAGAGGCTCGGGGACACTGTGAGCACCTCACCTTTACAGGCCCATCGTTGCTCTCTGGGATAGGCTCAGACTTCAGGTATCTCTTCAGGTTGCCATCAAAGTAATCTTGCAGGAATCTCTCAAGAGCCTTGCCGTCACGCCTGGTATTAGAAAGACAAGGAAGAGCTTCTTAACATACTCCCACCAATGAGAACTAAAGGCAGTTGTTTAGAATGGTTTCTACGTTAGCTTAATTGTTTCTCTTTTAGCTTGAGTTTCAACACTAGGAAGTAACTGGAAGTTTAAAAAAAAAAAAAAAGAGGGAGCCCTCATTTCTCAATATGCAGAACTACAGACTGAGTAAGAAGCCACCACCTTCTTGTATTTCTAGTGTGTACTTTGGGGATTAGAAAGGCCAGAGAAAGAAGAACACGTCAGTCCTTCTGGAAATTCAATTCTGCAAAAGAACCAGGTCTTACTTTGTTGCTCTGGAGAACAGTGCCTATTTATGGTATCTTGTTTTACTGGCTTCACTCACAGGAAAATTTTCTCTTGTTTTAATCTCCCGAAGTCTCAGAAGGTGATGGTCAAAACTGTCTGGTTTTGTCTTAAGATGTCTCCAATTTCCTGAGTTTACTTTAGGCCAAGGTGGTATTCCAAGAAAAAGGACATTCTGTAGGGATGGGAGGGGACTGGTTTGGTCTGAAATTACATCAGTCTCGAAGAGGCTATCTAGTGTTCTCTATTTACTGTATTAATGGCAGGGTGGAAAATAGTCATGTAAGAATTCCAAGCTGCCAATCTTTTTGCTTTTCAAAATTCATTAAGAATCATGATCCTTAAAATATCTATAATTAATTAATTGAGAAAAACGACAGTCATGGGTCTTAACCTAGCTTCACATTCCAATGTTCTTCTTTATACATCCTCAGTCGTGTCAAAGGCTTTAATGGTATCTTTGCAAAATCAAATCCCAAATCCAGGCTAACTTGTAACTCACGAGAACTCCTCCTGCATGACAAACTTCTCTCCTTTTGCGGTTCTGATAGCAACAACAGGAATCTCTCCAGTAGTGCTTTCCAAGCCAAAATCAGAAAGTTCGTGGCTAAAGGTTTTGCGGCTAGCTACAGCAAAATAGAGTTTCTTTCCAGCATCCAGGAATTTCTTTGCTACCATCATCACTCTGTGGGAAACAAGGGAGATTTATGCCAAGAGGACACCAGGATGGTAGAGCACTTCTGAAACCAAGAAGCGAGAAAGCAGAAAGCAACATTTAAGAGTCCCTGTAGCCCTCTGGGGTCAGTCTGAACTTGTGTCCTTGTGCACTGACATAGGATTAGGGTGTACTCCAATGTCTTTCTGAACTTCACCGCCAAACTGGTGGTATCCAAGCCAACAGTCCATACCCACTGAATGCTGCCATATTATATAATATAAAATACTGCAGGCATTAATAACTAACCCAAAAAGAACATCTCTAAGGATAAAGTGCACTGAGGGTGTCAATGGGCAACAAGGCACAATGTGTTAAAGGACATTTCAGATGGCATTTGAGTCTTTTCTGGGAGGGCAGGAATCAGCTGTGTCATATGGAAGATATGCCCAATCGTTTTTGGAAATAGTTTATTTGTCCTTATAGCTTCAAATGATCACACATGGTAACAGGATAGTTAGAAGAAACTGTTTACATACTGCGTAAACTTGTCTACAAAGGGGAAAAATTATTATTACCTGTTTCTCCAGTAGTTGGAACCTTTAGCATTCTTTTCATAGTCCACATCATAGTAAGCGATAAGTAAATCCTTGTTCTGTAGTAAATCTTTATTGTCTTCTGTCATGTGAGGGCAGATACCAAAACTGAAATGACAGAATCCATTATCAAATCTGGCAGGTTTTTATCTATATTATGAAATTAACATTAAGTAGCTGATAGTATGCTTAATAACTAAGATTTAAAAAAGACTAAAATGAAGCCAAGAAATGCCAAAAAAAAGTATAAAGATGTACTCACATGTTTTCCTGAATAAATCTTTTAATCTTCCCACTGGTCATTTTCTGTTCTGTATATGCCATCGTCTTGTCTTCAAACTTGTTCGTCAGATGGGAAGGACGAAACAAGGTGATACCCCTTAAAAAAACAAAAACAAAACTTAGTAGGTAGACAGAGAAGAACTATCTCCCATCTTTTATTGTTTGAAGCTCAGACCACCTACACCTGCTGCCACCTCACTGTCACCACTTAAGCCCATAAGGACTTTCTTCTGGGAACCCAGCCCTGGCAACACGACCCTCTCATCAACACTGAGGAGCTAACCACTCTAATCTCAAGTGTAATAATTGGTTTTAATAAACCTAGGTTGGAAAGTTAGGAGACCTTAGTTCTAATTCTTATTCTACCAACTAACTTCAAAGATCTTGGGCCACATATCAGTTTAATTCTTCTGGGCTTCAGCTTTTACATCAGTACAAAAGGGGGTTAGAGTAGACAATTTCCAAACCTTTAAAAACAATAGAAAAAAGTACCAAACTTACCCCAAAGCCCTAATATGTACAAATAAGAGAAAGCAGAACTTGCTCTTATTGGAAGGTAGCTTGCTTTGACACTCTCCTTGAAAATTAAACTTTCCCATACAGTAAGAAAATTACTTCAATAGAGAAAATATAGTTAAGATCCCTTGCAGTTATAGAAATTCTGTAGGTATAATTCTATGATTATAGATAATGTTTAGGTTGAGTTCATTAGAAATTTCTCGGTTCTAGATTTCTCTATCCCAGTAAACCCAGTTTACGTAATCTTCCCTTGCTGGTACTACTTTGCCTCTCTCCCTAAGCCAAGTTTTCCTCATTCCACTGAACATCTGAAGGAAACTCCTTTACTTTCTAGCCTTTTATTCAGCTAACACCGAACCCCAATTTGGTTCTGAGTCACAGATTCACATCTAATACAAACATTCCCAGAAAATATCACTATTCTAACCATTAATATCTTGCCTCTTGCTTTTGCTTCTCCTTCATTCATTCCTCCTCTCTATACTAATCACACCCATACAGTTATATCACTTGTTTTGGGCTAGGTGTCAGCACCTTTAAGTCCTTACAGCCCCCTCTCAACTCTTCCAACATTAACAATGAACTTTATGTCAATTTTAAAACACAGGTATTTTCATAGCATACAGGGAAACTACACAGCGAAAAAGGACCTAATACAAACATGCTGGGCAACCAAGAATCTAAATCTAAGACTTTTATTTTTTAAAGCGGTGTTACCAGTTTCAGAGCAGCTACTGTCAAAAAACTGAAATCAGTTCCAGATGTGATCTTTAATGATGATATGGCATTGGCATACACATGAAGGCCTTAGGACACCCTTCTTATAAGGTCTTCTAAATAAGACATCTGATCAGAGGCTGATCGCCACCTTTAATGGCAAGTGTGAGAGGCAGACACAGGGAACAAACCTAAGGTTAACAAGCTGATATGTGGTGTGCTTAATGAGCAGTAGAGCCTCATGGCTAAGCCCAACAACTTTGCAGTCAGACCTTCTGGCTGCAAAGGTTCCACCCTAGTTCTTCCATGTATAGCATGTAAAGCTTAACCTCCTTGTACGTCACCCTTGTACGTCACTCTCTTGACTGCCTTGCCACCCCTCCCCTTTCAAACCTCCACTATATGAGTGCCAGTGACTTTTCCTCTGAAACACAAAATTCATCACATTACTCTCTAGCGCAAAGCCTCTCAATGGCTCTCCAATGTCTAAAAGATAAAATCTACACTTTGACCTCATCTATGAACAATACTCCAGCAGTAACACAGGTTCCAACACACCTAGGTTATTTCACATCTCGAGGCCTTCCCTCCTGCTGCTTTACATGGAATAATCTTTATCCCCCACCATAACCTGCCCAGAAAAATTTATCTTTCAAGATACACCTCAAGAGTCACCTTCTCTATGAATTTTTTTTTTGATACTACTCCCGATCCCTCCTATGTACTACTGGTACTCTGCCTAATTCTATCGCAATCCCTGTGATGCTCACTGACACTTGTAGTTTTAAATATATTTACTACCTCCTGCTACTAGATGCCCCTCAGGGCAGCAACAGTTTCCAGAACTTAGCTTACTGCCTAATATGTGCTTAATAAAGTTTTTGGAAAAACTAGGCTTAAAAACCACCAGTTCAGTCCAGTCCAGTGGTTAGGATTCCACCTTCCAATGCAGGGGGCTGGGTTCGACCCCTAACCAGGAAACTACGATGCCGTATGCCAAGAGGCATGGCCAAAAGATTAAAAAATAATCTTAAAATAATAAAAAATAAAAACACCACCAGTCCACACAATAGTACTTGGTCCAGGTGCATATCTATAAGGGCATTCAACTCAGTTACTTACTCTCCATCATCATCATATTTGTTCACCAGAGATTCAATATTGGTGTGTGCAAACCGGTAGTTATCCCTCAAGTTGCTGGCTGCTTTTAGAAACTCAGAGTGAGCTTCACTGAATAAATCCTTGAAAAAACCTATACAGAAAACATCAAACACAAGGAAGAAACAGTAAGTGCTGAGACATATTCAAAACTTTAAAACTCCTCTATTCTTCAAACCCTTTATTATGGATAAGCAAAGCAAGATAGGAAGGAGGATCAGTTCTGCTTTGTCATGACTACTGAGGATATTCAACAAAATATTTAGGATAAGAATTCTTTCTCTACCCTTGAATTTGTCAGGGCTCAAGTCTTAATTCTAGTTTTTCACAGTTGAAAATTTTGAGCATATTGCTTAACTCCTTGGAGTTTTCAGGGATTATTTTAGGTGTCAGAGGAGTAAATAAGGCAGTATGTCAAAATAAAATGTAAATTAATTCACCATATTTTTTCTATGTCTAATATCTTTAGAACTTCAAATTGAGTAAAATGTTTATAAATGTCTACTTATGGTTAACTCCTTGTAAAAAATACAGACTCAGGGCTTCCCAGGTGGCAAAGAGGTAAAGAATCCACCTACAATGAAGGGGACATGGGTTTGATTCTTGGGCCAGGAAGATCCCACATGCCGCAGAGCGGCTAGGCCTGCACACCACAATTACTGAACCTGCACTCTGGAGCCCGAGAACTGTAACTACTAAAGCCCGAGTGCCCTAGGCCCCATGCTCTGCAGCAAGAGAAGACATTGCAATGAGAAATCCTTTCACCGCAACCAGAGATTAGCCCTTGCAACTAGAGAAAAAAACAGAGAAAAGTCTGCATAGCAACAAAGACGGAGAACAGCCTAAAGAAATAAAACACACATACATACACAGAATGAATAAAATCCGGATAAGAAGGGACTTTTAGTCAAACTTAAATGATAAACCATCCTCTACTGCCAGAAAGTCAGTTTTATTACAATAACGAGATTAAGAGAAGCACAAAACTGTATGTTTAAATTTATTTTTAAGTCAAATGTATTATACATTTAAAACAAAACAAAGAACACTCAAGATGTAAAACGTGTTTAATTGGCTCAAGTTATTTTAAAAATAATGAGATATGATAACATCTGGAAAAGCAAATATTACTGTAAAAATACATAGAAATGCCAGCAATTCAATCTTAAATTGTAAATTCTTCTACAACTGTGAAAATAGCATCTACAGAGGTTTATCATTTACCTATACCCTCCCCCTTTAAAACCCCATTTTCAGTCTTATATTATTATTTGAGTTAAATCTCAGGAGTTTAAGAAGTAATAGGAAAAACTAAAGCTATTCCTATTTTAGTTCTTTGACATTAAATCTTTACATCTGTAAGAATACCAAGCCACTCAAATAAAAAAACACTTTTCCCCCATATTACATTAATAGTAACGCTGACCTAGTTCTTTGAGTTGTCTTTTAACTGCCCACAAGGTTTTGTAAACAGTTTTAACTTGATTGTTTACTCAGACTTAGAGGACTTTTGAAACCATGTTGATGATTTTGCGGCACAATCAAACTTGCTACTTACCCACCACAGAAGCATCTTTATCATTAATGAACTTTTCAAATTCTTCCTCAGTCTTGAGAGGAACTGAAGCTGGTCCAGCCTGTTTCTTCAGGTGGCTGACAATTCCATCTTAAAAGACAAGATGAAAGATTATAGCAACACAAATTTATGATTTTTGAAAGGTAACCAACCATTCATATGATTTAAAGTTGGAAAAGTAAAAAAAACATACACAATGACATTTTCTTCCTGTCCCTAGTTACCCAGTTTCCTCCCTGTAGGATAACATGTCAGTTTTTTATATATCCCTCCAGACATATTTTCTTTGCTCCTCTAAAGGCAGCATACACATACGCTGTTCTGTATTTTGTTTTTGCCATTTAACACAATTTAGAGATAATTATGTCAGTAAACATAAAGAGTTGTCTCAATCTTCTTTATTGCCATAGTATTTCACTGTGTGGATGTAACGTAATTTATTTAACCAGCCACAATTGATGAACGTTTGTTTCCAATTTCTTGCTGCTATGATACTGCCAAAAAACAACCTTGTACTAATGTCGTTTTACACATGATTGAGTGTGGTAACTTCCTAAAAGTGGATTCACTGGGTCAAAAAAAGTACATACATTTATAACTGTTTAACTGGCTCCCAATGAGATGGTACTTATTTATATCCCTACCAGTACTGTAGTAAAGCGTTTACAACCACATAAATGATGCCCTTGTGCATTCTGTTCCCTGCCTCAGTCTTTCAGATAACCACCTGGCTTCCTTCCTCACTTCCTCCTTTAGGTCTTCATTCAAAATGTCATCTTCTTGGGGTCGAGGAGGTAAGAATCCACCTGCCAATGCAGGGGACAAGGGTTTGGTTCCTTGTCCGGGAAGATCCCACATGCTGAGAAGCAACTAAGCCCATGCCCCACAACTACTGAAGCCTGCATGCCTGGGGGCCCAAGAGCCGCAGCTACCAAGCCGCTGTGCGGAGGGCCCCGCGCTCACGCGCCGCAGCCGGAGAGGCACCCCAGCACTAGGCAGAGAAAGCCTGTGTGCAGCAAGCAGAAGGTGAAGGAATACATTCTAAAAATAGGTACACTGAATCAGGTCACATCTGTTTGGCCTGCAAGGGGACAGTAATTACTATATCACCATATAAATTATTATAAAGAACTTTACCTCAGGGGTATGATGAACAGTGTTACTTTTCTTCCTGAGTATTTAAAACTCTGAGAGGTATAGTGGGAGTGCTGAGCAACCAGTTTATTACTGATCTCCTGGAGCTTACAATATAAGTAAATCTCCAACTAAGCAATTTAAAATATCAGATAGTGGGACTTCCCTGGTAGTGCAGTGGGTAAGACTCTGGCAGGGAGCTTGATCCCTGGTTGGGGAACTAGATCCCGCATGCATCCTGCAACTCAGAAGTCCACGAGTAGCAACTAAGATCCAGCACAGCTAACAAATTAATTAAACAAAGAATACTAAAATATATCTATCAGATAGTAACCAGTGCTATGCAGAGAATGAAGAGGCTGGTAAGCCTATGACTGGTTGGCTACCTTAGGTTTGCTAGTCTGGTAGAAAGAGAATTTGGCGAGGCGTGGCCTACTACCCAGTTTGTGGAATCTTAGTTCCCCAACCAGGAATTAAACCCAGGTCCCAGCAGTGAAAGCACCAGTGTACCATCAGGGAACTCCCTAGGAAGTGAAATTTCAGCCAGGATCTGAATGACAAAAAGAACCAAGCCACGCAAACATGGGGGAAGACCATTTCACACTGTGAACACAACCAGGACAAAGGTCCTAACGTGAAACAGTCTTGAGGTGACATCAGAGTTAGGCAGGGGCCATGGTATGTAGAGCTTTGTGTACAAGCAGTGATCATACATGCTGAAAAAATTCCACGTCACCTACAGTGCCCAAACTGAGCAAACCTTCCTCTTAGTTTTTCATCATCGTAAGGTAAAATATGCCCAGTTAATTGTTAGACTCAAGATAAACCTGTCCAAAATATATTTTCTCATCCATTATGGGCCCTAACAATGGGGCCAGACCACTTACCTCCTAAACCTCTCCTGTCATCCTTGCTAATTATATTCACAAGCTCCTTCTGTCCCTTGAACACATCAAGCTCAGTGATGTCTTAGGATCTTTTTGCACCTGTTTTCCCTCTGCCTGGAAAGCTCTGGTCCACATATTCTCAAGGCGAGCTCCTTCCTAGCATTCAGCTCAAAGGTTACCTCCCTAAATCACCCTTGTAATGTGGTACTCCCACCCCCAATCACTATCACATCATAGTTTTATTTTTCTCCTTTTTAATGCTCTTATAACGAACTGAATTTATCTTATCCATATAGATTATTTATGTGTATAATAATACAGCATACACACTTTTTAAATTGTGGTAAAATACACATAGCATTAAAATTTGCCATCTTAACCATTTTAAAGTACATAGTTCTCTGGCATCAAGTACATTCACACCGTTGTTCAACTAATTTCCAGACTGCAGAAATGAATTGCTTTCATCTTGCAAAACTGAAACTCTCTTCATTATAAACAACTCCCCACCACCCTTGTGAAGCACATTCTACTTTGTCTCTAGGGAACTGACCACTCAAGGAACTTCATAGAAGTGGAATGACATAGTTTTGTCTTTTTGTGACTGGCTTATCTCACTGAGCATGTCTTCACGGTTCACTCATGTCACAGCACATCAGAACTAACTTTTTAAGGTTGAATAATATTCCATTGTATTATATACAATTTATATATAATTCTTCCAGACTCTGCTTTTAATTCTTTTAAGTATATACTCAGAAGTGGAACTGGTAGATCATACAGTAATTCTATTTTTACTTTTTTAGGAACCGCTGTGCTGTTTTCCACAGTGGCTGCATGCATTATTTTATGTCAAGTTCACATCAACATTGCACAAGAGCTCCAATTTCGCCACATCCTTGCCAACACTTGTTCTTTTCTTTTTTAGTAGTAGTTATCCTAATGGATGTGATGTGGCTATCTACGTATGTATGTTTTTATGTAGTGCTGTGTATATTTTATGTAGTGCACATAGTGCTACGTATGTGTGCTGCCTTCAATGCCCAGAATCTGAGCATCACAAAAGTGAGAACCATGGCTGATTTATTCATCAATAAATTCTGGGCACCATACTTCAGGATCTGGCACAGTCAGTACTCAATAAATATTTGTCAAATAAGAAAATGCCTGGTAAACCTTATAAATCAACCTCAAGTATTTTCTATATTACTTACATAATCTGTTCAGTTAGAAAAGTCTTTTGTCAAGTGTCCACTCTGACCTCCTAGATGAGGAATTTTTAAATATGTTGTATAGAAAATGTCAAGTTTCCACTACAAAGAACAGAGGACCCAAACAGTTACAGTTTCCAGGACGTAACTCAGGGCCCTTACCGGCAGTCCTGGGCCCGTCGTAGGCCCCCGACTCCTCACCATCTCTGAAGATCTTCAGGGTGGGGTACCCGCTCACTCCATACTTATTACAAGTGTTTGTGTTGGCAGTACAGTCCACCTGAAGACGCAAACACGTGAGCCACTTGTTATCCCAAAGTCTGCGGCAGGCTTTCCCACATTCCCAAAACATGAAGAGCGGTCAAACCAAAATATCAAGCAATTCTTGACACACATCCCACAGAACACTAGATTTTAAAGGCAGACTGGTGCTGGTCTAGTTATATCAGAACCACCTGACAGGAACTCTAAAATTTAGATTCCAGGGCCTCATACAAAACGCACAAATGACTATTTAAATTCTACCCTGGGAGTCTCCATTGTCTAAAGCAGTGTTTTCCACCCTTTCCCCATCCCTCAGAATATGTGAGAAATAATTCACTTAAATTAGTAACACTGGCTTACTTTGATAATGATTATCATCAGTGGGATGTATGGATTGATATATAACCACCAGGTGGGGTATAATTTGATTTAGCAAGTCACAAATGGTTATTAGCAAAGCTACTGATATTTAAACAAGTTCCCTGAGCTAGTCTGAATCTGGGCTAAACTATAACATGACAGACAGATCTGGTGAGACCTACCAGGAAGACAAAAAACAATTTTCCATTTCTTTAGCCACTTATTCCAAGCAAGGTAATGTGGTCAGCACTTTGCATGTATTACCTCATTTAATCTACACAAGATTCTGAGGCATGATCCCAATGCCTTAACATAAACTGAAGTTCAGAAAAGTAATGTATCTACAGTAATGTAGGCTACAGCTACATGAGGCAGGAACAAAGTCATGACAGAAACTCTTTCTTTTTTAAATTAATTTTTTTTTATTGAAGGATAATTGCTTTACAGAATTTTGCTGTTTTCTGTCAAACCTCAACATGAATCAGCCATGAAAGTGAAAGTGAAGTCGCTCAGTCGTGTCGACTCCTTGCGACCCCATGGACTGTAGTCCACCAGGCTTCTCAGTCCATGGGATTTTCCAGGCAAGAATACTGGAGTGGGTTGCCATTTCCTTCTCCAGGGGATCTTCCTGACTCGGATCAAACCCGACCCGCACTGTAGGCAGACGCTTTACCATCTGAGCTACCAGGGGTATCAGCCATAGGTATACATATATCCCCTCCCTTTTGAAACTCCCTCCCCATCCCACCCCTCTAGGTTGATACAGAGCCCCTGGTTTGAGTTTCCTGAGCCAGATAGCAAATGCCTGTTGGCTATCTATTTTACATATGGTAATGTAAAAAAATATGGAACGCTTCATGAATGTGAGTGTCATCCTTGCGCAGGGGCCATTTAATCCTTCTCTGTATCGTTCCAATTTTAGTATATGTACTGCCTAAGCGAGCACTGAACTCTTTTTTTTTTCTATGGCAAGTTGCCATAGAACATCAGGATTTAAAAAAAGTAGCTTTCAGGAATTCCTGGTCATCCAGTGACTAAGAGTCCATGCTCCCAATGCTGGGGGCCAGGGTTTGATCCCTCATCAGGGAACTAGATCCCACAGGCTTCAACTAAAACCCAGTGCAGCCAAAGTAACAAATTTATATCAGTTTTCAAAAACAGTCCTATACAGGTATGAATTATTTACTTGAGGCTGGTAAGATATGAACTTTTAGACTGGAGCAACTAGGAGTCTGCGACACAACAATGACAAAATTCTGGAAGCATTACTTTGACTATAAAAGCAAATATTAAGTTTACAGCTAACCAATTACTCACTTAACATCCTCTTGTCATCTTCCTATTCCCATCTCTGTGACTAGCGTATAGTAATTTAGGGAACTCATTTACTCAACGATAATTTTCCTCTAACCTTGTCTACTGTAATTTTACTTTCCATATTTGCCCCTTAATTCTTATTTACCATATATCTTACTTTTTTCATATGCCAGTATTTCCCTTAGTTTTATCACTTTTAATCTTTCAAACCCATAATCAACAGTCAGTCGTGTATTTGCCCAGAACCTCATTTTCTCTCTTCTTCACAAGTATGAACAAAGAAAATCAATGTTAACTGTTAACCAATAACTATTTAAAATACTTTTGTTTCCTTTAATGAAGAATTTGCCTATACTCACCTTTGCTAATGGGACTATTCCTTTTAATCTGGTAGCTGCAGCTTCATACTCTGGGGCAAGCTTTTTGCAGTGTCCACACCTATGTAAATATATTAAAGAAAAAGCTTATATATCCTATAAGTTTGTTAATTTTGTTTCCCTAGGAAGGACTTCAAATTATCCTACTACTTTTGACTATTAGCTGCTTCCAAAAGAAAACACATCACCTGAACAAAATCCAGGACTGATAAGATTAATCAGATCTCTCAGAAGTAAAGGTACTATTATCTCAAGCCTGTGATCTACTCTATAGGACTGACTCAGTCCAGAACAGCATCTATCTTCTCAATTAAAAGCGCAATGGGGGTGGGGGGATAAACTGGGAGTCTGGAAGTAACATATACACAATACTATATAGTACATAAGGGTTTACCATATAGCACAGCAAACTACATTCAATATCTTGTAATAACCTATAGTGGGAAAGAATCTAAAAGATGTACCTAAGAAGCAAGCCTGATTTTTATGGCTACACAGTTCACCTGACTATAACAGCTGATGAGGATAAAGCTTTATGTCAATTAGAGTATTTTCCCAGAGGGCCATCGTAACACCTGCTCCTCTGCCCAGAAGTCCTACCAATCCCTTAGGCACACCGTACTTCCAATGTGGGGAGGAGTACATCAGTACATAGCTAGCACCACTATACATCATCTCTTCAAAAACCAAAAGGTTGCAGAGGGAGCCCTTAGAGAAGGTGCGTAGTTCTTCAACATCCCCACAGACAGCAAAAATAGAATTAGAAAACACAAGGAAACAAGGAAGAAATTTGAGCTGATATACTTCATAGCCAAAAGTCACATATTTTATTTAGTAATGGATGAATAAGTAACTCTGAAATATTTTGCTCCCCAAAACTTGTTTAAAACAAAATAAAGAACTTATATTCTTCAAGGTCCATAGAAGTCCTACTCAAAAATAATCATTAAAAAGCTGACACAGAAAAAAGAGTAATATTAAAAACAAACTATAACATTAGATGTTGCTTAGGGTTGCTGAATAATTGATGCTTTTGAACTGTGGTGCTGGAGAAGACTCTTGGAGAGTCCCTTGGACTGCAAGGACATCAACCCTGAATATTCACTGGAATGACTGATACTGAAGCTCCAACACTTTGACCACCTGATGCGAAGAACTGACTCACTGGAAAAGAACCTGATGCTAGGAAAGATTGAAGGCAGAAGGGACGACAGAGGATGAGATGGTTGGATGGCATCACCAACTCGATGGACATGAGTTTGAGGAAGCTCCGGGAGTTGGTGAAGGACAGGAAAGCCTGGCATGCTGCAGTCCATGGTGTTGCAAAGAGTCAGACGTGACTGAGTGACTGAACTGAACTAGGGTCACAGACATATTTACTAAAAGTATAGAAGAACCAAATGAAAAAACCAAATTCAGGACAAGGGAGTGTGTAACATGGGGAAAAGGAACAGAGGGGACTTCAATTGTATTCACTTTATTTTTTAGACTGGGCGGGTGGCGAATTAATGGTATTCCTTATACTGTATTTCACAGATGCACATTTTACTGAATCAGAACATCAGAAACTGGGATATGTCTTGCAATCGCGTCATGGTTTCAGTGGTAGCATTTCTCGCTTTGTGAGACATAAAATATGGTATTACTCATTATATCCTCTGTATTCCATAATATATTAAAAAATTCATGCACGTGGGTTGTAACAAAAATACACAAATTCCAATTGATTTAATAAAATAACCAAATTAGCTGAGAAATCTAGGCTTCTGGGAATATAATACAGGTGCAAAGGTTAAAAATGAATGTGTATTAAAGAACTGATCTGGGTCTTAAAGATATAAGGCTTCATACAGGACAGGATAGGGTATTTTAGAGAAGGGATTAGTAGAGCAAAAGTAAAATTACTAGTAAGAATGATTCATTCAAGAGAACTATGAAGGGCTTTTTTTTTTGATAAGAGACAATAAATGTGTTATATGTATTAAGAGATTTCTGTTGAATACATATGTAGTAATTGTCCAAAAAGACTGGGGCAACAGATTTCTGAACAGTTTCACTTCAGCTACCTTTAAACATCTGAAGAGAAAAAAATAGCATAAAATAATTAGGCCAGACCTGTGGGTCTCAACACAGATGCATATACAAAATATCAATTAAGCATAAAAAAAAAAAAAAAAACCCAAAACCCTGTGCTGAGGCACCCCCCTGGGGCTTACTGAATGATTCCTCTGGGAATGCAGGAGATAATCAGAGGGACTGGGCTGGGACTAAAAACCTTAAGCACTGATACTATTCACAATATCATCAAATACCCAATGGGAGGACCTGTCTGACAAGTTCCAGTGGAGGAGACTGCCTCTTTAAAATTCATCGGGAATGGAATTTAGGTGGATTTTGAAGGTGATCATCAAATTTTACCACTACTTCTTTCACCTACTACTGGATAATACTAAAACACAAATAATCCCATTCACCTTCAGGGATGCTGCTGCTAAGTCACTTCAGTCGTGTACGACTCTGAGACCCCATAGACGGCAGCCCACCAGGCTCCGCCGTCCCTGGGATTCTCCAGGCAAGAACACTAGAGTGGGTTGCCATTTCCTTCTCCATCAGGGATGCTACCTAGAGACTAATTCAGGAAGTTTATATTAGGAATCCCAACATATATTAATCCAACAATCATTACTTCATGACGGCAATGTGCCATATGCTATTTTAGCTTTTGACAGAAGAAAAACTGATATAGTCCTAACCCTGTAGAAACATCAGTCTGGCAGGGGTGATAGATAGTATTATTAGGTCCTGATAGAGGGAGCAACCAGTTAGTGGTCCAGAGAAGGAAGAAGTTAACTATTGAGCTAAATCTTATTGAAAAGACCAAATGGGGGTGGGAGAGGAGGAGGGAATTCCAAGGAAAGAAATCAGTATGTGTAAGAAAAATATTAACTATTCCACTTCATGCTATCCACATAGGCTTTTTCTATATCTATAAACACAGTAGCAAGTATCATTAATACTACTGCCCCAGAGGACAGGGCACAAACCTATAATACACACAGATGCTGAAGACTTAAAACTTCACACTAACCAATAATTTTCAGAAATTATCACATTTAAATAGTTCTATTTATTCCCCCAGAAATTCAGATACTCCCATTCTTCCAAATTACATAGATGATGACTTTATAATGGAAACATTAGGCTACAGAATCAGCTGCAAAGAAATCTGTCACTTTCACTTGTAAAATGAAAGTGGAAAAAATACCCTAAGACAAATGAGAAAAACTACTTGCTCAAAACAGGTCCATTTTACTCTTAACAAGGCTTCTTTAACTGCTCCTATCTTACGTGTAACAAGAGTACAAAGGAATAATAGCAGCTGGAAAATATTTTCAGCTGAAATATTAATAAATAAAAATAGCTGAATGTGAAGAAATAAGGACATCATCAACAGGAGACTTCCTTGATTTCAAATTACTCATTCAGCAAACTGATCCTTCCTGTAGGCATTGTGGAGGATGACTCTTTACCTTCCAGGCCAGTTAAAAGGGGACACCATAGCAGAGGTCCACCCAACTTTAGGGACAGTTTAGGGCACGATGGCTGTGCAGTTCTTAGGGAAGCACATACAACAATTTAAAGTAGCATGTGCATGAGTGCGGAGTCTCTCTGGTGGTGTCCCACTCTGAGCAACCCCATGGACTGTAGCCCGCCAGGCTCCTCTGTCCAAGGGATTCTCCAGGCAAGAATACTGGAGTGGGTTGCCATGCCCTCCTCCAGGGAATCTTCCTGACCCAGGGATCGAACCTGAGTCTCTCCTATCTCCTGCATTGGCAGGCCGGTTCTTTACCACTAGCGCCCCCAGGGAAGCCCATAAAGTAGCACACAGAACACCTCAACTGTAAAAATAAAAACCTGCTTTAAACTAACAGTCTGATAGCCCACAATTCTCCAGCAATTCACTTCATATTCACCCCTGTAAGTCACAGAGGCACCTCCCAGTTTTGATACAGCTCCATACAGCCATTCTAACTACAGGAACACCCCCTCAAAGTCAACAGCATTGTTCTGTGATTGGGACCAGTTGTTTCTGAGAGAATGGGCGTTCTAGAGATGTATAAAGACCACCTTTGATGTGTAATCAGCACTCCCAGTTAATCATGGGAACGCCCGAGATGCAAGTCTATCAGAAGTTGAAAACGTGTTGCTAAATAAGCACACCCTTCTGGTTCGGGTGGTCTTCACTACAGGACTTCTAGTGTAGCCTCAGGTCGGCTGAGCCCCTGCAGAGTGAAGACCAGAGTTACAGACAGAAGTAAATGCAAGTTATCCACTAACTTTCTCTTACTTAGACTTCTGAATACAAAGTTTTTAATTAAGGGTCACTGTGGCAGGAGAAAAATTAAGTACTGTAATTAGCATGGTTATACTGAGCCGTCCCCAGCGTTAAGATAATCATTGTTTGCTATGATAAATATCTTGGGGGTAAAAAAAAAAAAAAAGCCAACATTCAGGTTTCCTGGGCCAGAAATGCTATTTGCTCTCTCCCCACCCCCACCCCCACCCCCACCCCCAGTCAGCTGTATCCTAAGGAACTTACACCCTAGTAAAGTCACCCTTAAGTGCAGTATTTCTCCAACACTGCTTACTTTCTCATTGGGGTCTTCTCTGGCATTTTCCAGAAATCCTAATTGAAACTGACCATTTAGACAGCTTCTGGTGGAATTAATCTGTTCATCTACTCTTTCTGAATTCTGCTGGTGCTGAGAAGCATCAGTTGAACGAATAAAGTGTGCACCAGGCGATGGACACAATAACTGCCTGCCTTAAGAAAGCACAAGTGACCATTCTGCAGCCACTTGAGTGACCTTGGCTAGAAACCAACGGCTGCCTGGGGCAAGAAGAAAGGAAGTACCCTGTGGGCCCAGGGCCTCTGCATTTGGCGAAACGTTAGCTTTCATTATAAGGTCTCGCGAAGCCTAGTCTGTAGAATAGAAAACAGTAGCACTGACTCACGCACAAACTCTAAAGATACCATTGAAGCTGAGTGGAGGGGGAGGGGGTGGTTAAACCCTCTGCAAATAGGAAGTGCGGCAGGAGCACCGAGGTAAGGATGTGGCCCTGCGCGAGAGGGGCCTTCGCTTTCTCCTTCTCGGCTCTCGCTTCCAGGAGGATCAGCACCGACGTCTCCGCTCTCGGCGAGGCAGCTCGGGTCTCCGTAGGCGGAAAACCTGCCGGCCGCAGCCGTGCTCTCCGGAATGATGGAGGGCGCCGACGCTGCGTAGGCCCAACCGTTCCCGCGCCTTCGCCCCTGCCCACCCGGCCGCCCCTCTGACGCCCCGGCTGAGTGGCCTCACCAGGGGGCGAAGAACTCGACCAGCATGAGGCCCGAAGAGCCCGTGTCGGTGATGCGACTCTCGAAGTTGTCGTCCGTGAGTTCCAGCACATCGGAGGCAACAGCGAGGCGGGCCGCGGCGAGGAGCAGCGCCAGGCCCGGGAACAGCGGCAGGCAGCGGAGGCGCATGGCGACGAGGTAAGGCGGAGGGGCGGCCAGGAGGGTCGGGGGCTCGGCGGGGACTGCGGAGACCGGGCCGGCGACCACGCACCCTCAGCCTGCGAACGCGCGTCTGGCCCAGGCGGACCTGCAGCCGGAGGTCCCAACCCCCCAGCCCGGCTCGGGCCGCAGTGTGGCAGCCGCCGATTGGCTGTGCGGCGCCTGCGTCGGGCGGGCGGGACCAGCTGGTAACCGCCGAGTGGCCGGAGCGCGGGGCGGGGCCGAGGCGGCGAGCGCCGGGGCGACCGGGGCTGCGAAGGGGGGCCCGGGTCGCTGGCTGCTGCTGGGGGGTGGGTCCGGGGGCCAGCCGGAACCCGGGACCGGGCGGGACCGGGCGGGAGCCGGACGTGTGGCGCTGCCGAGCTGGGAGCCGACCCTGAGCTCATCCCGCCTGCGGAGAGCCGACCTCAGGGGGCTCCAGAACCGGAGGCGGAGGAGTTGAAGTCAGGGCCGAGTGGGCGGAAGAGAGCCTGGGCTGAGATGAGGCCCAGGAGCGGGAATTGAGAGAAGGAGCTGGCACCCGAGGGAGCGCGTTGGAGTGGTCACGCTTGGGATCGGACACATCTTCAAAATGTCAGGCTGTTGCCTTTTACCCAGTTCCTCGTGGAACTGGGTTTTTCTTTTCGGGGGCAGTCCCGGAGCCCTCCCTCTGTCCCACCTCATTGCATTACCTGACTCCTTCAGGTCCAGGTGGTGCTTGAATTCCTCTTTGTCCAACCCCAGGACTCCTCTATCTTTTGTGGCTGCTGCATTTAACTAGAAATGCTGTCACACGGGTGAAGGAGCCTGGCCGCTTAGTCAACTACGCAGATTCTTTAATGACTCCCGTCTCCTTTTGTTTCAAAAGGCCTTGAGTCTGAGTACAATGTATTTGTCTTCTTAAGGGCGAAGACCTTGGGAGAAAGGGAAGAGAATCTCTAAGTCTTGATGCAACTCCAAAAATGAAATGACACTCTTATTTTCTTAACAGACATGGCCACTTATCACCCATCAGGACACATGCAGCTACCCCGGGCTGATGCCATTCGTTCCCGGCTCATTGATACTTTCTCTCTCATCGAGCATCTGCAAGGCTTGAGCCAAGCTGTGCCACGGCACACAATCCGAGAGATACTTGGTCAGAAGCCTCTTTCTTCACTAAGACGCATTTAAGGCTCCCATCCACACCCTTCCCAGGTGGCACAGTGGTCAAGAATTCTGCCTGCCAATGCAGGAGATGCGGGTTTCATCCCTGGGTGGGGAAGATCTCCTGGAGGAAGAAATGGCAACCCTCTCCAGTATTCTTGCTTGGAAAATCCCATGGACAGAGGAGCCCAGGGGGCTACAGTCCATGGGGTCACAAAGAGTGGGACACAGCTGAGTGACTGAACACTCACACACACATGTAACCACACCCTCCAAAGAGTAGGAAGCAGAGAAAATTTTAAGGGTGGAAAATTCAGGGGAGATTGGTTTGGTTGCAGCTTTAAAAAGTTGCACCAAACTTGATAAAGACTTAATAAATAAAACTCTGAATCCAGGAGATAGAACTATGTCCCTTGTTTTCAGGCCTAGGATAGCTAGTAGTCCTGGCTGGCCTGGATATTTCTACCAAAGACACATAAAACTTTGAGGGTTGAACCTGTAACTTATCTTGGGCATGAACAGTGTTGGTCATAAGCAATAGGTTAGCTCTTCAAACTAGTATTAGTTGTGTGAAGGAACAGCAAGGTAAGCCCTTATACTCGGGGGGTGCGGGGGAGTCCATTACTTAACCCCAACCCTACCTGCTCTTGATACTCCCAAAGATTTCTTTTTATATTTATCCACTGTCTCTTTTATTTTTGATGTAGATTCTTCCCATCTGAAGAATCTTATGTTGGGAGATCAACACCAGCTTGTGCGCTTCTCCATAAAACCTCGTCATGTAGAACGGATTACACATGCCCAGAGGCTAATGAGCACCCTTCGAGTGCGATGCAGCACGAGGCCACCTCTTTCCTTATGGGCTGGATGGGTCCTTGAGCGTATCCTTTCATGCCACTTATTTGTTTTAAAAAGCTTTATTTTTTATTGGAGTATGGCCAGTTGACAGTGTTGTGATAGCAGACAGCAAAGGGACTCAGCCATGCATATACGTATATCCATTCTCTCCCAAGCTCCGCCCCCATCCCGGCTGCCACAAAACATTGAGCAGAGTTCCCTGTGCTATGCGGTAGGTCCCTGTTGGGTGTCCATTTTAAATATAACAGTGTGTACACGGCGATCCCAAACTCCCTAACTATCCCCCTTCCTCCTATTCTCCCCACCCCCAACAAGAGTTTTTTGTTTTGTTTTTTAATTTTTGGTTATACCCCAGGGCATGTGGGACTTTAGTTCTGGACCAGGGATTGAACCCACACCCCCTGCATTAGGGGGCAGAATTTTAACCACTGGACCACCAGGGAGGTTCCTCTTACCACTCATTTTTATCCCATTTTACTCTCTCTTGCCTCATCATCTCTCTAAGGACTTATTTTTTCCTTCCCAAACTCCATTTTCTTCTCATTAGGGTTTTATTGCCCTAATTATGTCACCAACATAAATTAGAAAGAACTTCATTCTGTATGTTTTCTTAAGAGAAGACAGGTCCTATCTTCAGAAACTTTATCATCTTCCTCATCTTTTTGAATACAATTGTGCTGATGGTTGAAATAGGTGAGAACTCACATTGAATGAAAGGATGGGAGTCATTTTTCCTTCAAGTTGATCATTTTACACTTTTGAAAGTTATTTGAATTGTGATTGTGACAATTATATTAAGTCTCCTGGATTTGTGCAATTGCCAAGGCCTAGAAACATTGGGAGGGCTCTCAAAAGTAGTCTAAGTTAGTCCAGACACTTAGAGGAAGGGGTTGTCGACTCCTAAGGAATTGGAGATAGGAAAACCAGCTGTATTTCTTGTGTTAGTTTAGTCTAATACAGGAAGTCCCCTACATATGAACGAGTCATTCTGAGAGCATTCATAAGTCCAACAAAGTTAGTCAAGGTACCCAACTAACACCATCTGCTACATAGTGCTACCTTACTGTAATAGGTTTATAATACTTTTCACACAAATGATATGTAAAGAAAAAACAAATAAGGTCTTCCCTGATGGCGCAGTGGTAAAGAATCCATCTGCCAACGCATGAGACACAGGTTCGATCCCTGATCCAGGAGGCTACCACATGCCATGGAGGAACAATCCTGTGTGCCACAGCTATTGAGCCTGTGCTCTGGAGCCTGTGTACCCTAGAGCCTGTGCTTTGCAAGAGAAGAAGCCACCACAGCAAGAAGCCTGTACACCTCAACTAGAAAGCGTCCCTGTTCATCACAATTAGAGAAAGCCCGTGCAGCAGCAAAGACCCAGCACAGCCAAAAATAAATTTTAAAAACTTTAAAAACTGAAAAAAATAAAATATTGTAAATCTCACAGTACAGTACCTTGAAAGGTACGTTACGAGATTTGGCACACAGGAGTTGGCATCAAGTGACCAAGCAAGAAGAGGTATTGATGAGCAGGGAGAGGAGGTGGGAAATGGTAGAGCTGAAGCATCATCGACAATAGGAGATGGAGGGCAAGCTGCAGTTTCATTCACGCCCGATGTTGATGGCAGGTGTTGAAAGGCTCTGGTTCCTTGCTGAATTCATTTCTACCTAGGCTCATGAAAGAAACGATCCAGTGATGTCTGGGTCATGGCTCTTTTTTTTTTAATCTTGTCCCAGATGACACGGGGGCACTGGATTGTGTTCTGAACGGCTGCTGCAACGTTTTGTGTACTGTTCTATGTTCGGGTTCTGTGCCTCAAAAGCTAATAGTATCTCAAAGAAAATCCCCTCGCCAGTTCCTGCGTTGTGACTCTCTCTGGTTCTTCAGTTACTTCTTTCTCTTGTCTTTGTTCCTTTCTCTGAACCTCCAATTTCTGGTGCCTCTTAGCAGTACCAGCTACATCACCGCTGTTTTACACTTGCTTCTGGACATCCTGATGTTGAAATAAAGATCCTGTACTCTATGTGGTACTGTACAGTAAAGTACACAAAAGCACAACCGCTTGTAGAGGATGCACACGCATGACCGTGTACACCAGACACATGAGCTAACTTACGTGATTGGATGTGTGAACACACATTGGCATCTTTGAAAGTTTGCAACTTGAAGGTTCGTGTGTAGCAGACATACTGTATTTTTTTTTTTTAAATAATCTCCTAATAGAGATACTGAGTGCCTATCAGCAGGTGATCCAACATTTACATTTTTAGAAATAGATTTATAAAGATTATTTAAGTACAAATAAGAAAGTTCACAATGTATGTAAAGGTACAACTAAGATGTTAGATGAGCCAGAAGAATGACTTAAAGAGTAAATGACTCTAAAACCTGTCATAAATTTTATGAAATGTATTAAAAGCAAAAGAATATTTGGAAAATCAATGAACTCATTTGATTATCATCTCAAACAAACCACTCAGAAAGGATAGTAGAAGTACTCACTTCCTTGTTTCATCACTATTTGGGGGAAGTTTCCCACCTTAACAGTAGTCTTTTAATGCAGTCAGGTCAAAAGTATTTTAAGACACAACAGTAATTGGTATCATTGGCCAACTCCAGTATACTATATGCTTTGAACTCTTTTATTTCCTCCCCACTGTGGTGAAGATTTTACCCACATTTCCTGTTTCTTGTTAATCATGATAATTGGCAAGTGTTTACCTTGTAGGATTAGGGGTATAGACTTAAGCCTTAGAATAAAGTAAATATATGAGATTCCCTGGATCTAATGGGCAGTAAATATATGGAATTCCATGGATCTAATGGGCAAATCAAAATAGAAAAACGCTAACCATTCTTTTTGGTAAAACAGCTGAATATGAAATATGATTATTGTGCCAGAGGATGGGTGGACTTCCTGTGTGGCAACCACCTGGCAAGATCATTAGGTACCTTCTCGTGGAAAGAACCCGCCTGCCAA